GGCTTGCAGTGGTCACGTGAGGTTGTATTCCTGAAAATACTCAGTGAAAAGTTTAACGCTGTGCTCCAAAAACAAAAACAAAGAACGAAACAATAACAAAACACTGTGCTCCAGGGTCAGGAGAGTGGGGGCGGGGAGGGTTAAGATGTGGCTCTAAGGGATGGTACATTAAGTGCCCGGAGTCAGGCCTCTGCTCGCCCAGAGGGAAGCATCTTGTAAGCCTTTCATGCTTTGCCTGCTAAACAGTTATCTCTTCCCACCTTGGGCAGTGACAGACGTCAACTCTGAGCATGCTACAGGCTTGATGTGGTAGACCCCTTGCCCAGGAGGCCCCGGAATGCGGAAACAACACAAGTTAGCCGTTTTAAATGAAGGCCGGGAGGACCTTGACAGATCATCATTCCAACCATTACTTTACACACGCAGCCAGCAAGGGGCAGAGATGCACGGGGTGTTGCCCCCACATCCCCGCACCTCCCTGCAGCTCCTCCTACTACCCTCAATACTTGCTGTTTCAACCAACAGATTCAAATTCTACTGACTCGTAATGAGCACCAAGAATGATGCCTCCCACGTACATTCTCTCCTGAAGGACCTTCTCAGCTACACTCTGAGGCAGGGGCTGTTGCTCATTTTACAGATGAGGAACCTTGGGACTCAGAGACAGGAATGGAGATGGGGACCGTGGAAATGTTCCTTTGGCCTCCGAAGGATTTCCATTAAGCCCACAAAACACTGGAACTTGGGCCCTGGTTCACCCGTACATCTGTTCTTGCACAACATCAAGCTGATGGAAACTATCTGCCTGTGGCTTCTCTCCTGCCCCTGGAGTAGGGGTGGTGATGGATTCACCTGAGCCTTCTGTACCTTCCCTGAGCTTGGCACAGGGAAGATGCAAGATTCACGATGTGACCAGGGGTCCCTGTGTGCCCAGGACCATCCTGGGTTATGCCTGCTGTCTCAGCGTCATTGATAATACTGCCCCCTTTTACTCTCAAAAGTGCCTTGGACTGAACAATAAATTATATGGCCACCTTGTTATTCATGTCAAGTAAAACGATAACTGGCCAGGTGAATAAATAAGTGAACAAATAGATCATCTCAGTTGGACTCTGAGTCCTGCACTTGTGTAAACTATAGGCAGCAGCTCTGTGATATGGGTATCAATGTCGCCAGTGCGAACGTTTGCAGATGAGAAAATTGATGCATGGAGAGGTTAACCAATTTGTCTACAAGATGATTTCAGAGGACATCCAATGGGTCCCAAATCTGTGTTCCAAATTGCAAGAAAATAAGAAAAGAAAACACACACACATATACATACATATATACACACCCACACAAAACAGTATCTGGGAACAGAGAGTTTGTCAACACTGGCTCCCTTTAGGGAAAAGAGGGAGGGAGCTAAGGGCCAGGGGTGAAGGGAAACTTTCCACGGTGTACCCTCTATACCTTTTGAATTTCAAACTGTGGACAAGTACTACCTATTCAAAAAATAAATGAAATAAATATTTTAAAATTAAACTAGCTAAAAAGGAGGTTTGCTACTTTACAAAGTGAACCACACAATGGCATGGAGAGGGTTAATGCTTCCTGCATTCCCTGCTCTGACCAAAATATTCAGTTGGTTTCCCAGCATGCACTGGGCAACGGGGAATCCTAGATGGTCAAGGTCTACCGGACTTTTGGAGAAACGCTCAAATTTGCCAGTCAGGAAACTGGTCAGGGCCACAGAGGGGGAGAAGGGTAAACTAGGGTGAGAGGCAGTCCTCCCCCAGCCAGCTGGGCTCGCTGCTCCTGAAAGGCCCATACACTCTTGTGAAAGTTCTCGGTCAGATGCACACGCATCAGGCTGTCGAGAAGGCCCAGCAGACAAGAGGCCTCCGTTTCATATTTGATATAGTGTAAAATCTGAGTCCCCCAAAGCAGTGACCTTTGTAAACAACCTGGGTGACCCTAAGAGTGATCATCCAAATCCTGATATTTTGGGAGTGAAAAGGGGTGCCAGACAACACGCACAAAAGAGGCTTCCTGGGAAAACCAAGACTACCCCGCCAAAATCCCCCAGCATCAGGAAGTTGGCAGGATGACATTTGGGACAGAGGACCTTCAAAGGAAGATGGTGTGATTCTAGTATTACTTGCCCAACTTCTCGCCTATCCCCCTCCCCCATAATGCTGACAACAAATAGGCTTTGAGTAAACCCAGGTCCAAACCACTTTACTTCTCTGAGCCCCAGCTCCTTCCTCTGTCAAACAGAAATCATGACCCCCGTCGAGTGACACTGAGAGAATGAGCTGTCTCACTGAGAGCCGGGCACGGGGGAGGCGCCCAGTGAGAGTAGTTTCTCTTCCCCGAATGCAGAGAAGCAATGAACTGATGCAGGCTTAATCCTGAAGCTCTAGGGGATGAACACAGAGTGAGTCTTTCTCCCAGACTAGATGCACAAATGCCACCGTGGGAGGAAGTGTCAGGCACCATGCCCAGGGAGATGGCGATTCGAATTCTGGGAGTCATTTTTCGAAGCATCTCTTCATGGTGACTCATCTGGAGACTCACTGAAAAATCCTTTGAGTTAAAAACAAAAGTCGAGTGGGGTTCTGGGTTGAACTGAACCTCTCCCCTCTGCTCCTTCCCCTCGCTAGGGTGGTAGGGACAGTGGGAGGGATGTGGAGGGTCTCTGGGCAGAATTTAACCTGGTTTTCCCCAGCATGACACCAGGGACTGGGACCTGGCCAGAGGGAAGGAAGGAGGGGGTGAGGAGGAAGACCTCTCCCCTCCCCACCCCAACCGAGTCCTGCTGCTGAAACCACCTGGCTCTAGAAGCCCCCAGCACCCCAGCAAATGCCCCACCCACACCTGTTCCTGAATTAGAGTCCAAAAGGTGGGGGTTGGGGGTAGACAGGACTTTGCTACTCCCCTAACACTCAGCAGCAGCCATCAGCTGGCCTCCAGCTAGCCCCATCTCTGCTGCCTGTGTGACCTGGGGCATGTTGCTTGACCGCTCTGAGCCTCAGTTTCCTAACTGGAAAATGAGGATATTAGGAGTGCTTGTCACAGGGACCATGTGTGGAGATACAGGTCTTCTCTTCCCGGGGGTCTGGTGCTGCTCCCACAGTTTCCTTTGGAGGGGAGTTTCAGGTTCTTGCTCCGCAGTGCGCCATGATGGGTCTCGGGGCACGGGGCCTGTCCTGGGTACAGAAGTCCTCTAGCCACTTCACCTACCCCCCCCCCCCCGGACCCCATGCTGGCCATCCCTCAAATGTCATCTCATCAGGGAGGGCTTCTCCCAGCACCGGCTTCCGCTTCCGTGCTTTATCCATCCCCCACAACTTGTAATTCTCGAATGCCAGAAATCCGCCCCCGCCGCCCGCCCCCCCGCCCCGCCCCACCAACCTCACTCCCAGATTGAAGTCCCAGAGAGGTTGTGCTATATTTTGTTGATGACCTGTATCCCAGTGCCTAGAATAGTACCTGACCCATAGGAGGCGCTCACACATGCGCTGGGTGAATGAATGAATAAACTGTTTGCCACACAAACATAGCCAATATCACTGACCGCTGGTAACAGTGCAACACACTATCTCAGAACTTCTAGTTATTTTTTTGCAGTGTTATTATTTCTGTTATTTTTGCAGTATTTATTTTTTATATTTACCCTTCAACCTATCTGACATTTATTGTGAGGTGTATCATGTGAGGGGAGGTAGTAAACAGATTCCCCAACTAAACAGCTAACCAATTTGCAGAATGATCCATTTTGTTCCTGTTGGTTAGTGGAAGGACTGGGACTGGGCTGCCTCTTCTGGACCGGCTGATGCTTGCGCCGACCCTTATTATATCAGCTATGCTGTCCATGAGTCAGGATTGCCTAGGTTAGGCACAGGCATCGGAATTAGACAGTCCAGCTTCTAGCTCAACCACTTACCAGCTGGGTGGCTTTGGGTGAGAGAATTTGCTTTCTAAGCTCCAGTTCTAAGCCTCATTTATCCTATCTGTAAAATGGGCACAGAAGTAGCATAATGCCTCCTTCACAGAACGGCTGTGGGACTGAACACCACAAGGCTGGCAGAGTCTGGCACACAGTGGGCGCTCAGCTGGTGTCATTATTGTTATGGATCATAGCCAGTTGAAGTTAGTTCATTCACTGGGCAAAGGAGGCCCAGTGGGCATCCTCCTGTGCCCCCTTGGTAGCTGGCAGGTGGTCACTGTCACCCCTTGTTCACACCCTACTGAGGGACACAGTACGGTTTGCATGTGGAGAAGCAGCACGTTTGGAAACAGGAACTATTCGCGCCAGGAGCGGCCCCTTCTGTGGGGGGAGGGGTCCCCTGAGGAAGTGAAGCCTGGAACTGAGCTGTTGCCTGTGGGCCCCCATGGAGACTGTCTCCTTAAAGAGGGTGTTAAACTTTCATTAATGGAGTGTTACTTCTCCCAGAAACTTCTGCACACTGACTCTCACTGGTCTTGGGGTCCACAGGAAGTGGGGAGGTCCAGCGAAGGAGATGTTGGTGCTTGGAGGGCAGGGAGCAGTGCTCTGGTCACATCGAGTCCCTTGGGACCCCGGCATTCAGCAGGAACAAAATAAGCGTTTGTTGATTGGCCGATTTCAGTGTGACCAGGGCTGTGGTGGGAGCAATGTGAGGTGAGGGGTACCCAAGGACGCTAGGGAGGGGTCCATGGAGTTGTCTGACTGCAGACCCTAATCCTCAGTGTCTAGAGCCCCAGGAAAGGGGAAGATGCTGCATCTGACTCGTTGTGTGAGTTTGGGCCTCAGTTTCCCTATCTCTGAAATGGGAAAGGGAGTCTGGGCTGAGTGACAGTGGTCTTGGGAGAGTAAAGGGAACTGGCGGGGTGAGGGAGGAGCCGGGGAGCCCCCCAAGCCGGCGTGGCGGAGCGCGCACGAGCGCAGGGGGCGGCGCGGCCCCGAGGCGGGGAGGGGCGGGAGCGCGCGCGCGGGCCCGCACAGGCGGTGGCGGAACAGAGAGCGGGCGAGCGTGCGGCCGCGGCGCCGCCAACCCGTGTGCGACCTATCGCTCCAGCCTGCCGCCCGCGGTCCCGCGCGCGGGTCCTCCAGCCGGCAGCCGAACCCTTCGCGCGCCGGTGAGTGGCCTGGGGCCGGGACGCGACTGGATCGGGCCCTCGGTCCGGGGAAGGGGTGGGGGCCGGGCCGCGGGGCCGTCACCCATACTCGGGCCCAGGACGCTACGCGTGCCCGCGCGCGCGCCCGAGGCTCCGCGGGGAGAGCAGGCGACTGTGCGCGCGTGAGGTCGGACGCGTGTGAACGTGCGAGTCTGAGTGTGTCCGCGGCCGTGCGTCCTAGCGTGCGTGTTCGCAGGAGTGTGTGTGTGCTTGTGGCAGAGTTGGTGCGTGTGCACATCGGAGTGCCTGGCTTGTGTGGTTTGGAGTGAATGAGTATATGGGGTGGGTGGGGGGGTGCTGAATGGGCATGGCTCCCATTGATCCATTTACCGAGTGTTTAATTTTCTATGTGCCAAGGAGTGTACCAAGCGCTGCATCTGAGATCTCATTTTTGTGATCGAGTATGTGTGGATTCAGGGAGTTCACGTGTGTGACGATTCACAAGTGATTTCTGCGGGTATTCGTGAGCCTGTGGGAACAAAAATGTGCATATGTGGGTGTGTGTGTAATTAATGTACAGGAGTGTGCGACTATGTTTATTATGGTGGATAAAGGTCCCCGTTTGGGCCCACCGAGCCTATTGTGTGATGTGCCCTCCGCTGGCGCTGATGCCAGGGAGCCAGCCCATGGAGAGAAGCGGGTCCAGCGTGGGCACCCGGTGGGTACTGGGCCTCGTTTGGTGAATGAGGAGCCAGAAGTCAGACCCACAAAGGCTGGCTGGGTCTGGCAGAGGGGGCGGCCTCAGAGCCACAGCTTGGCAGGGTCTCCGGCAGGACCCTCAGTGGGGGCTCCAGGAGGCACAGACTAGGCTGGGGCAGTGGCGGGCCTGACCCTTGGAGACCTGTGTTCAGTTCTTCCTGGGTACCCTTCCGGTTTCCCGAGCTTTGTTCCTACCCCTCTTCGGCCCTGGAAAATTTTAACTTTTTCCCTAGGCCTGGGGGTTGGGAACAGAGCGAGGCTGACCCTGGGGAGACCAGGGGTCTGGAGACACTTGTCTTGTGTCTGGATGTCTCTCTGCCTACCTTGCTAAGTAGATAGCTTTTCATCTGATTTATCTGTATCAAGCCTGGGCCTCAAAGAGCCCCCAAGACAGTAACAAATTGATCACAGCAGGCTTGGGACACCATCTTCAAGGTCTGTCCTCACAGTTTTGACTAACAGTCTTTTTGTGCTTTACACATGTTGAAAATCTCTGCAGTCGAAAAATCTCGACTGCTTTAAGGCACTTAAACTTTAGAAACTCAGGAGCTTCCTAGTTTCTCTGAATTGTCAAAATTCAGCCTGCCTTTCGGAGGGGAAAATGTCGTCCTCCAAGCTCAGCGTATGCGCAGGGGAACCTTAGGGGCATTTAAAAACTATGGCGTTAATGGAAGAAGAATTTCATTGAAAGGGATGCAGAGCCGACTGGAAGTGCCTGTTTCCAACTCAGCAGCTTACGGAGTGAACTTTGGACGTCTTCTTTTAGCAAACAAAACCTGGAAGGAAACAAAAAAGACCCACATTCTTTTTCTTTTGTGTCTTAAAAAACGAAAAACAAAACAACACAACACCTTCTAGGTTTGCTGGAAATGCTGCCTCCCCTTCCCCCATCCAGGCGAAGCCTTCCCCGATCCCCCACCCCTAAATAAAATATGCCTGTGGGGAGCTGTGGCTGAGTCATTCCCTGGCAGAGAGCCCCACGGGCAAACATTTGGGAAGGTTCTTGCCTAACTTCCCAGAAGAAAGGCCCAGGATTTAAAATGGTCCCTGTGGTTTGTCAGCTCCTGCTGTCCCGTCAGCTCCTGCTGTCCCGTCTGCTTTGGAAATGACCAAACAGTAGTTTCTAGCTCCACAAACTGAAGTCTCAGACTCAAGCCTGGGTTGGTCTTCATTTAGGGCCGTTCGGGTTTCAGGAAAGGGAGACCCTGGCTTTTCCCAGTGACACTTTTGAGGACTCTGAGCAAGGCAGAAGCAGGGAGAAGGGAAGGGAAGGGTGGTGGCAATTATGGAGCACCCACTGCGTGCCCATAATCCTCCCAGTAGTCATGCTGACGAGGATGGCTTTTTTCTTAATTGGTTTTTTGCTTTTGGTTTTATATGCCCAAGGAAACTGAGGCTCAGAGGAGCCAAGCCGTGTTCTGGGACCACTAAGAGGAGGCAGACGCAGAATCCGGTCACCTGCCTGATTTCACACTCATCCTCTTTCCAGCATCAGGGGTGTGACATTTGCCTTCCAAAGGCTGCACAGACTGGGTGCCGAGCGCTTTAACACACATCCGCTCCTTTAATTTTCACAGTGAGCTAGGGGGTTATTACCTCCACTTTACAGATGAGAAAACCGAGGCTCGGGGAGATGAATCACCGTGCGTAATTTTATGAAAGTAGTACTACAACTAAGGGCCACCGTTTAGTGAGGACGTACCATGGGCCAGCCAGTGTACTTTTAAGTACCTTACTTCACTCATTCCACTCACCAACACTGTGAGAGGGGAACTGTCATGATGCCCCTTCTACAGATGGGCAGCCGGGGCACGAACAGATGAAATAACATGCTGAAGATCACGTACTAATAATATGCAGTTGACCCTGGATTTGAACCCCTCTTGGCTGAACATAGTCTTCCCACTGAACTTGGAAAGTAAGAGTCACTGCGTACAGTGTCTGGCCCAGGGCTAGGGTCCAGGATTGTTATCCTGATCTTAGGAAGATGAAGACACGGGAGGTTAAGTAACTTGGGCAGGGTCATAAACTGGCAAATGGCAAAGTCAGGAGCCACATCTATGATTTCTGACTTGAAGTTCTTAACCTTCAGCCAGGTCTGCCTACCTTTGTTCTGCTTTTCTCCTGAAAAACAGAAACAAGTGGATGCAGTCACACCAGGTTCCCGCCAGACTCCTCGGTGGCCTCCAGCCTTCTGGGAGGGGTCTTCCTGAAGGCTGCCCTCCTTCCTTGTCCCCTCTTGCCCCTCGGGGGTAGGTGACCAACGCCCAGAACCAGAGCTGTCAGATAGAAAGGGCTACAGTTTACATTTTTCTTTCCTAAGTGCCAAAGATGGGTTTCAGAAGGGAAGTGTCAAAACAATTGTCAAAAAGTGAAGAATATTCCCTTCCTCTTCTCTGGGCAGACCAAGCGAGGGAGTTAGAGGGTGGCGGACGGAGGACCCTGGTGAGTCATGCCTTGTTGAATGCAGGCCGGCCCCTCCAGACATGTGAGGGGAAGGAGCAAGCTGGGACACTGGTGTCTGGAAGAGGCCAGCCTCCTGACCCCTGATGGCGGAGAGTGCCCTCCAGGGGGCGTGGCCCTCCATTCTGAATGGCATCATTTCTACCTAGGCGTCTTGTCACCCGCCATTCCAGTCCCGTGCCTGTCTCCCTCGTTCACTTCCATTTATATCGCGGTTTATACTACACGGTACTTGAGAGGAATGTTGTGTATGAGGACCTGTGCCATTTGGGGTGTGTGGTGCCGCTGTGAGTGTCCTTTGGTGTTGAGAGGAGAAGGTATTTCTCTCCCTTCCCACTACGTTCTGCCGAGTTGATGGACATTTGCAAATTGCTTTGAGATGCATTAATTTAAGGTGTGAAATAATAGATCTTGAGCGAAGGCTCAGCCGCATTTCTGGCATTGATGGATTTCTCTCCCGTCTGGCCTGTGATTTGAAGAGGTAAAAATAGTCCTTGTTTCTACATTTTTATCTTTTTTTCTGACGTCATTCTTAGGAAGCGGCGTGCACATGTGACAGACCTTCCCTTGGCCATCACCTCAGATGGCAGCCAGAATGCGGCGCTCTGGGGACCAAGGGGGCCTCTGGGGTGGGGCAGTCCTCTGCGATGGTCTGCGCCCCTCTGAGTGTCTGCGGAGTTGCTGTTATATGAGCAGGTGGCCGATAGTCAGGCTTGGCTAAAGACCCTCAGTGGCTTTTTGGTATTTGGCTATCTTCTCATTTCTGACCCTTGCGTAGTGACAAGGTGGCCTTCTGGGAAAACGTTAGTTTAAAAAGAAAATAATCGGGCCAGTGGCTTTACTCGTTCCTTTGGAGCTGGGTGACATACACACAGTCCCTTCCTTTGACTGAAACTGAAATAGACCAACAGCCTTCTCAGACTCGACTCCCAGACAGGAGCTGACATTGGGGCAGATCGGTCGGTGGTGTAATTTCCTGTAACGTTTAAGTTGGGAACTTGAACTAGCATTTTGACATCTGTCCCTGTAACAGGACTTGCTTGTGTGGAAACAGACCCCCACACACAGCCTCTGCCACTGTCTCCAATTCTGGATTTTTCCACAGACGACTTCTCGGGTGGTCTGGTGGCAAAAGACCCGTCTTCTAGCCAGGCCTTCTTGGCATCCACCGGCAGGACCGGTGCGCCCCTCCAAACCCAACTGGCCGCTGTGGCGGGGCTCCGTCTGGCAGGGCAAGTGAGGGGCCAGGGGAAGTGGAAGGTGGGGGTGAAGCCGGATCTGAAACGCATTCAGTTCCAACGGCCTTGATCCACACGGAGCCGTTCTTTCTTTCTCGTAGACATCTGTGTGAGGGTGACCTCATAGAAAAGAAAAAGGGGCTTTATGTAGGAATTCCACCGAGTGTGAAGGAATTCGGACAAGGGGAGGGGGAGGGAAGCTGCCATTCAGAGCCAGCGTTTTCCCGGAGTTGTTTAACCTTCACACTTCAAAATTGGGCTGGGGGAGGGGCGATGCTTGACCCTAGCACAGGCCTTGTAAGGAGAACTTCCTGAGCGAGGCTCCTGGGTTGAGTCCCTCAGACCCGTTCTCACCACAGGTGTGCGGCAGAGTTGGAATTTGTCCCCAAAGCCTGCCCTCTCTGTTCCTTGTGTCCCCAACATCTTTGCAACTCAAATTACTTTGACCTTCAGCTCTGATCGGGCCAAGCTGCAGAGGAGGAATTCATTCGGCTCACAGTCCAGAGAAGAAAACAGAAACCGAGGCCCAGACAGGGGAGGGCACTCACCCACAATCACATT